AAAAGGTAGAATATTTTTTACCAACATTACCTACTGAATATTTCAGGTACAAAAGCTGACGATTTGCAAAAATTGCATTTGTTGTGATAGGGTTCGCCAAAAGCAATAGAGTAAAAAGCCTTAAGTCAACGTCGACAAAAATGCGTGGATCATATATTGCAGAGATAAGAGAAATTTGTAGGTTTACGTATCAATGTATTTGCCGAGTAACATAAAAAAATATATTGGATTGCGTGAAGCTTGGATGAGAAAGTCATTTGAACATGAAGTGGGATTAATAATGTATGCTTACGATTCATCTAAAGAATGGAAAGAACGCGATTTATTCGCTGCGACCCTAATCGCTTGCCACTAATACATGATGACAGACATATACTTTGTGTTTATAGTATTGTAAAATAGACGCGAGGTATCCAGATAGATATGGAACCTTATATGGGATAATAATGACGGTAATACGTAATTAACATATTTATAATATAAAATTCATTTCGTATTTATCAATTATGTTTAGCTTAGTTGGACTTCAGATACATAAAATCGTTGATTGGATCAAAGATTTTAATGTTCATAATTTTGGTGAATTTAAGCGAAATTTATAGATTTCAATTTTTTTACTCAAAAAAAAAAAATATTACTTTTTATTTGGATAATTAGATTAATTAACACAGATTTGAATATAGATACACTCTTTATCGTCATGATGAAATAGTACGCCTTAAACAAGATCCCGACGTTATTAATTTTAATGTATTATTAACTAAGATGTGGGAGTCTAATGAAATGAATGAATTTTTTACAAAATTATAGCAATTGAGGGAAATCGGTTTAAATTGAGATATCAACAATTGTCGAATAATGTATCTTTTTAATTTTAAAATAATAAATAATGAATAAAAACAATCATGAATAACATAACACTTTTTATCAATAAATAATCTAACGCTATATAACTAACTATAAGATAATTATCGTTTGTTACTATAAAATTAACCTTATTTAACCACATCGACAACCCCGATGTTTATCATGTCACCTTTTCATCCCCCAAAAAATTTCCCGATCATGACATTAGTTAAAGATCGTTTATATGAATGCGTACAATTTGATAATAGTTTTAAACAACTATTACCATTTTACCTAATATAAAAACATAATAATATTAATAAATCAAATAATACATCTATTTAAATAATAAATAATTACCAATTCAAACAGTCGCGCCCCCCTGTTTAGTGCCGCCACTTATTAGTAGCTAAAAGATAAAAATATAGGGACCTTTCAAATACCTGGTGTATCTCCTAATGATTTAAACATTAAATTTGATGAAAAAAGCTACATCATCATCATAACAATCTATAAATGGCGCTAGAGTATTGAATTGATATTGTGCATGTTAAGAGATAAGCACCTGTCACAGCACTTCTTGTTGCCTTCTTAGTATGTTCTTGCTGCCTACTTAGTATGTTTACCCATATTACTGAAGCAAACTTGTTCAAAGATTGAGTATAAAAAAATAAATATGCATTGATGTCATTCTTGAAAGTATTTGTTCGTATAATTGAAATTCAGCGGTAACACTATTTGACCCAAATGATAGATGATGTAGTTCAAGTTGTGAAGCAATTTCTATAATAAATTTAAAAGGCAATTTAGAAATTAAAACAATTACTACTAATGAACATAGTTGTCCTGAAAAATCTGCGGGCACAAGTATTAAAAAATTTTTGATATACCCTTCGTCCAGTGTTTCTTCTTGAAATCTCTGTTTCTTTTGTTTGTTTGACTTTTGACTTGATGGGCGACAATTTGCTAGTCGACTTATTGATCTTGTCATTTGGTTCATTCGGATTACATTCTTCCGTTCTGTCTTGTTGACGCTTAGTTAAAGTAATCCACAAATAATACAACAAATCTTTATAGCATTATCTAAATCTCTATCGATAATTGCTCGCAACCTTCTGAACACTATGTCATCATAAATACACAATCTGAAAATCTCAACTACACTAATTTTTGATATAGATATTTGTGCTAAAATGATAATTGAACTTTCATGGTCTTCTCCTTCACACTTTTTGTTTTCTATAAATATTAAAAACCAATTTAGACTTTGCTCAGTCTGGTTCGGGCTGAACCCAAAAAATTAGATTTTAAATGGTATACGCTAAATAGTCTATAATAAAATATTTATATTTATATAATAAAAATTTCCCACTCTCATCTCTTTCAATATGCGTACTTTGAATGCTACTTACAAAACTCGACAGCATATCTGAGAAACCGTCTTCATTTAATAATATTCCAATGTAAGTAAATTATTGATCGGAACACGCTCTTACAAACGCAGAAACAACCACTGCTCAAGAATCATGGTCTAATAGCTTGTTGTACCAAAGCTTTTTGGAGTTGGTAATTGGTCTAATAATTGTCTAAGATAGAAAGTATTAACCATCGAGAGATCAGACCAATTTTTAAGCAAGATACTAAACAATACAATTAAAGAAATATGATTAGAACTTTAGTTTTGATTAAAATAAACAAATGCAAAGAATACTGAAGCAAACGTTGCAGGAATAATTTGTATATTGAGGAATTAAATCATTTTTAAATAAGTTAAATACCAATCACTCACCACATTATAACATTTTCCTACATATAAATAGTCTGAGCCCATTATCTTCAGACGCTCTTTTATGCTCTGATCTTTTGCTTGATAAGTTATTCTCTTTTGTGTCTGTTGCTAAATGGTGGGCCCTAGATTCCATCGGTTTTTCATATGTTCAATATCTAATTCATATTCCTATTAAGCTCCTATATGATTGCGTTTTTGGCCGATTTATCAAACGTAAAGACCCCCGCTTATTGATTAATTTTTCGCCTCTTTCAATTGATTTTTAACCTCCTTTTCTTTCTTTTGGTCGCTTCCTCTATTGCTTCTCAAAATTAATGCTTATCGTTATGCAATCTAAAACAAAAGATCAACGCGTTTTCTATTGTGAGTACTGTGAATAAAATTTTTCAACTACCATACTTCAAATCTTTACATAACATACAACTTTTTTTAAAAAAAATTCCGCTTTTAATCCCACGTTTTTAACTTCTGAATTTCGGTAGTGTAATCTCTAAAAATATTGCCATATTTCTTTTGCCCCTCTATTTATTTTTTTTTCTTTGTATTAATAGTTGAGCAATTCTCAACAAATCATAAACAGTACAACATAGCGATACAAACTCTAGCTTCGGATAATAATACCTTTTGCCATTACGAGAAATTGTAATGAGATTATCAGTTTAATTGAAATATTTTACGCCACTCGGCAGATATCATCACACCAAATGTGGAGTGCTGAGTAGCACATGCTCATCTGGTAACTTTTCGAGCGCAGTGAATGCGGCAATCTTGTAATTAAGAAGAGCTTATATTCATTAGAAATTAGACCGTCGATAGTTTCTTAAGGACAAAGCCATATCTAATCTACGTTAGAAGTGAATGCGCAACAGCAACTTAGAATCATACAACTAAAGTGTATCCATGAGCTGTGTCACTGTAAGTTTGTGGTTTAGAATATTATTTCGATCAAATCTATGTTGTAACTATAGCCGTGAAAAATTCCATTTTCCCTTCCATTTTCTCTAACAGATATTTGAAGTATTATTTCCTAAATTAATACAATCTAATGAGGGGTTTGCATCAATAATATCATTAGAAGACAGGTTTTCTTTGTGTATTGCCAGCACTGCTTTAACAACAGTCATAGTAGTGATATTAGCAGATTCTCATACGCTGCTGTCTAACATCCGCCATATCATGAATCTCTCATAATCGTAAAGCGATATATAGCAATAGTGTTGAGAATTTCTCGACGATTAAATAACAAATAGTAAAATTGATTTCTCTCAAACTATACCAATCATCTATACCAATCATAAAATATCTGAGAAATAATATCCTGACACATAATCTGATCCCGTAAGTAATTCGGTAGATATTTTCGAAAAGGCAAGCGAAAGACTTTAGTTGGGTTGCAGAAAGGATGTACTGAAAGACTTCCCTGCGTTGAGATCTCCTTTATACTGAACTAGAATCGACAGTTCTACCAGAAGATCCATTAGAAAGGAAGCTATGAAGCTAGTATTTATTGTCGAGGCCTTGAACTGAATCATTATTTGCTGGGGCATCCCCAGAAATTCATTTGGATCATGCTTGTAGAAAAGTATTAGTCATTCTAAAAACGGATCTGATAGTATCTTGAATTAGAACTCAAATGCTAGGATCTTTTAATTTAGAATATCTAAAAGATTGGCACCAAAGAATCGGGAGAGGAGGAACGTGAAGAAGTACGTATGGTGATGGATTTGTTGTGTGTAATTTTAATGTCGATGTCGGTGTTACATAATTTGGCGTTATTCGTTAGTATTTCATACTTGTTATGGTTGATAATAATATTGGCCATCTCGTAAAAAGAGTTGACGATTTGTGGGTTAGTTTTCAGTTGCGGTCAAGAGTGCATTCAATAGAAATTGAATTGAAAAGTAAATAACGCGTATTATGAATGATCTAATAAATTTTTCGGTAGAGATCAAGCGTAAAACTATGAATCAAAGAAATATTATTTTTGTGTTAATTCACTAAATAATCAGGTGAATAATCTTTGTCAATTTTACCTCTAATTTTCTTAAGCGTCTAAAAGAATTGTTAATATTGCCGTGATTTTGTGGTGATAATTTTTTTGAAAGATCTGGCATCGATGCATTACTATTATTTAGCAAAGAATAATGATATCGAGGTGTTGAAGGAGTAGATGATGATTCTGCTGATGATAAATATATCGTTTTTCTTGATCATGAGCGTAACATCGTCTCTTTCTCAGGCGTAGGCGACGTCTTTGTCCTTTCCGTTTCTGCGTCCATTTACGCTCTGTCTGGAATTACGGCTGGTTGTTCCGAAGACGAGACAAACGCATTCGCTCAATGTCGTCTTCATACAAGCTCAAAAGATGGTTGGCGATCGAAAATTAGAGGCAAGTGGTATGAATGTTTAATAAATTAATTAAGACGACAAAGTTCGAGAAGTTTTGAACTTTACGCTACATGGGGGTGTCGATCAACAAAATTTCTAAGCCACCGATCACTAGATATTTAAACCGAATTTCTTAATTAATACAGTAGTGCATTTTTTCAATTTTTTTTTTTAATACTAGATAGTATTAAATTTACTTATTATTAATTCAGAATTTATAAATAATTGACAAACGAAATCATTAGTTCCACTTAAATTTCAATTATTTCAATTTTGTTCAAACTAAACAAAAGAATGTTAACAATAAAAGTCTTATTTCAGAATACTTTGAGATTGGCCACGATTTTCGTTCTTACAGCAAAGTAGCAAACACCAGTACACCACTTACTGAAATGGTTAAAATTTTACTTAAAGCCGCAACGGACAATGGGCCTTTCCACTTCATACTTGCTGTTCAAAAATATGGATTTTTTTCTGAGAATATAAGACTTCTAAGAATTTGCATAGATAGGATTTTCACGGTATTATTGATAAGGCTGACCGCATCTTCTCAATTTTATCAGCTTCACGTTTAAGTTCACAATACTCTTCTACAACCCTATCGACGACCTTTACCTTTAGTAGTAGTGGACGTAAGTATTAAAGTATTAATTAGAAATATTTAAAATATATTTATTAATATATATTATATTCTCTTTATATTCAGAGGTGAAAAAAAAAACTTTATCAATAACCATAAAATTTTGATCGATTGGCGATTGGCGATTGGCGATAATCAAAGTATCAAACCACCAAACATCTAAATTAACATATTTGGTAACAATAAGAACTTTTTTTTTTATATATATCATGGATGTATTTTGTTGGTTTTGACATTTATAATTTTTTTCATTCTATTCGATCGTTTATACATACTATTCATTCATACATAATAATCATTCATACTATTTATTCTTCTTTCATCATAGCTATGGTTCAACTTTACGCAGATATTCTTTTATTGATTATGCTTGAATTACAAGATGATATTTCTTCTTTACATTCTTGCGTCCTTGTGAAAAGCTTTAAAAGCAGGCGGAAGTTGGCTAACAAAGGAACGCCGGAAATTTGNGCTGGTTGTTCCGAAGACGAGACAAACGCATTCGCTCAATGTCGTCTTCATACAAGCTCAAAAGATGGTTGGCGATCGAAAATTAGAGGCAAGTGGTATGAATGTTTAATAAATTAATTAAGACGACAAAGTTCGAGAAGTTTTGAACTTTACGCTACATGGGGGTGTCGATCAACAAAATTTCTAAGCCACCGATCACTAGATATTTAAACCGAATTTCTTAATTAATACAGTAGTGCATTTTTTCAATTTTTTTTTTTAATACTAGATAGTATTAAATTTACTTATTATTAATTCAGAATTTATAAATAATTGACAAACGAAATCATTAGTTCCACTTAAATTTCAATTATTTCAATTTTGTTCAAACTAAACAAAAGAATGTTAACAATAAAAGTCTTATTTCAGAATACTTTGAGATTGGCCACGATTTTCGTTCTTACAGCAAAGTAGCAAACACCAGTACACCACTTACTGAAATGGTTAAAATTTTACTTAAAGCCGCAACGGACAATGGGCCTTTCCACTTCATACTTGCTGTTCAAAAATATGGATTTTTTTCTGAGAATATAAGACTTCTAAGAATTTGCATAGATAGGATTTTCACGGTATTATTGATAAGGCTGACCGCATCTTCTCAATTTTATCAGCTTCACGTTTAAGTTCACAATACTCTTCTACAACCCTATCGACGACCTTTACCTTTAGTAGTAGTGGACGTAAGTATTAAAGTATTAATTAGAAATATTTAAAATATATTTATTAATATATATTATATTCTCTTTATATTCAGAGGTGAAAAAAAAAACTTTATCAATAACCATAAAATTTTGATCGATTGGCGATTGGCGATTGGCGATAATCAAAGTATCAAACCACCAAACATCTAAATTAACATATTTGGTAACAATAAGAACTTTTTTTTTTATATATATCATGGATGTATTTTGTTGGTTTTGACATTTATAATTTTTTTCATTCTATTCGATCGTTTATACATACTATTCATTCATACATAATAATCATTCATACTATTTATTCTTCTTTCATCATAGCTATGGTTCAACTTTACGCAGATATTCTTTTATTGATTATGCTTGAATTACAAGATGATATTTCTTCTTTACATTCTTGCGTCCTTGTGAAAAGCTTTAAAAGCAGGCGGAAGTTGGCTAACAAAGGAACGCCGGAAATTTGAGAATTTTACCGAGAAAAATTTCAAAGTTTTTCGTAGCCATACCTTTCACACCTAACGGCCGACTCGGAATTTGCCAATATAAATCGGAAATCGGAACATAGCAAATTTATAATAATCATTGTATTAGTCAAACCACCAGACATCTAAATTAGGTAACAATAAGAACTTTTTTTTTTATATATATAACATGGATGTATTTTGTTGGTTCTGACATTTATAATTTTTTTCATTCTATTCAATCGTTTATACATATTATTCAATCATACATAATAATCATTCATACTATTTATTCTTCTTTTCATCATAGCTATGGTTCAACTTTATGCAGATATTCTTTTATTGATTATGCTCGAATTACAAGATGATATTTCTTCTTTACATTCTTGCGTCCTTTGTGAAAAGCTTTAAAAGCAGGCGGAAGTTGGCTAACAAAGGAACGCCAGAAATTTGAGAATTTTACCGAGGAAAAATTTCAAAGTTTTTCAGCTGATTGTCAGCAAGAGTCCAAGAATTTATTTGTAGATCCTGGTCTCAGATAGCCATACCTTTCTTATGGAAATATATCTTTCATATCAATGGAATTACAGTAATTATGTGAAGGACTTTCTACAGTCAACGCTTGTTATAGTGAAGAAATTTGCTTATAGTGACTTTTTTTATCCCCCCAGTTCACTTACTAATAAATCTTATTCGTTATAGTAAACTTACTAATAAAACCTCGATATTAGATAGATATAGTAAACTTTTTAAAAATTTTATATATTTTATTTTATTTATTTATTTTATTTCTAAAAGAGAAAAATTTTATATAGAACGTATATTGTAAATTTATATTCGTTATAGTGAATATCACGTGAAATCATTTCACGAATCAAAAATTAGGTCGCTTTATTATTGATATTATATGTATAAGGAACAAGATCATACTATGAAATGCCAATAGAACTATTATCAGATAAAGAAATTATAAATAATTCATTGATCTAAATATACACAGAATTGGAAATTCTTAAGGCTTTAAAATCAAAAATTAAATACTTTTGTTAAAAGAAACTTTTTATTGTATTAAATCAATAATTTCAATTTTCAGAAATACGCGTAAACTTATAGCGGTAAAAATTTTGCTGAACTTTGTAAAGTGTGTTTAATTTTCGTGTGTAAAATTTTTAATAACATCAAAAGAATAAATCTAACTTATGGTAAATTTACCCAAAAAATGCATCTCTCAGAAGAACATATAATGACTTGAAATTAGCTTACAGTATTTTACACGATATCTCGAATACGCATTACAAATAAATTTCTATTTACTTTACAGTAAATTCAAATATTTCACTACTATGTTTAAACTTAGAAAATATATATATTAAAGACATATAACTTTAAAAATTGGAAGGACATTATTATTTTATTATTGTAATCCAATGAATTAATCTAATTCATTACAATATGCTGAGCATCTTCGTATAAGAATAGCCTCATTTCAACAAGTTATAGTAATCTCAAATTAATCAGTAATATCAAATATAGGTTATAGGAGTGAATCAATAAAATTCCCCAAATTTCTTTTTTAAAATTTAAGAACCAATTGACATACATTACAATATGAATCTTACTTTTTAATTCATCTAAAAGATTAGATGCCATTTATGGTTAATATCCAGAAATATTTCCTTATCTCAATAACAGATAAGTTATTGCAATAGAATCTTTAAATACATTCGCTACAATATGGCATCCATACATACCATTCATATATATGATGTTATTATTTGTAAACTTTAATATGTTTTCTTTATTAGCCAAATAAAATAAATTTCTTTATTGAATTAAAGTATTTCTTTTTAACATAAATTTCATTGATTTTCGTAAAGTCTTAAATTAAGGCGCCAAACACCAACTTCTTTACACCAGATTGTGCATTAAAAGCTAATATTTTTTTTTACAATCGATTGAACATTTAATTTTACGAGTCCCTTAATTCAATGAAATGCTTTTTCCTTTACCAAAATAATATATTTTACAATAATAAAATTCAAATGTTTACACAAATAAAAATGAACGAAAATCATATTATTGTATAAGACAATTATCCTGGAGAGTTATTTTGAATATAGGATTAGAACTTCCCTATTTGGGTTTTAAAAGTTTTATAATACTAAATTAGCCTTTAGAACATTAATTTTGTTTTTGCTAATAAAATTCATAAGTAAATTGTTATGAATTTAATTTTATCCGGGATCTATTTTATTTCAATCTGATCACTGGATGGTGAGAAAATGATTAAAAAGACTAACATCTTTGAACATTAGTAAGTTGATGACCAATATAAATATTATTTAATTTTATGAAAAAATGAATTACATGCATGCATGGTACGATAATTTGAATTACTCACAATCATGTGATTTTTAATAATATAATAATTTCAAAATTACTGTAGATTGTAGACCTACAGTAGTTTAGAATGTAGAATGTAGATTCTGTCTTCTTGAAAATAATCTCATTAATACATTTAAAAGCTGATGATTATCTTTTCGGATCAGACGTTGGTCATCTTGATCGTGTTTATGTTGTGCAACTGATGCCGCATATTATATACTTTTTTTCTGATATATAAGGCACTCTCCCTATCCGCCCTCGTTCTTAAAGATAGTTGATTTCATACTTCGCTTTTAAATAACTGCTACAATAGAAAACCCATTGTTTTTACTATAATAAAAAAAATAACGTTGAAGGAACTATGGAACAAATTGCAAGCTCTAATGTCCAAGTTGTCCAAGAGGAGGTCAAGATATCGGTACATCCACTTCCAGAAGATAATGATGTAACAAATAAAGTAACGCTTCATTCCCCCGTAAATGTTCATCGACCTAAGGTTTGGGCTGAGGTATATCGTAGCTTTACCTTTTTTTGTTCTTCAAATAAAGATTTGATTATTCAATTAATTAATTTATATTGTTTTTAAAAGACACGACAAGAGTTATGTGAGACATTAGCTTATTTTAGAGCGTATCAGGGTGGAGTATACCATAAAGATAATGCAGTATACGCGTACCTTGTTGATGGGTTTGGAGCAAAGAGAGATGTCTGTAACGGGCGCGTAATAATATCACATGGGTAGACTTTTTAAAACTTATGATTTGTTTAAGTAAAATATTGATATGAATATTAATACAAATCGTTGGTTTTGGTTGAAATTCAATATTTATTTTCAGAGGAGGAAAGAGTATTAAACAGAATGACAAGTATGAACTCGCCAAATCTCAATCACCTACCGATAATTCGGTCAAATCCTTGTTGAATAATTATTATAACAAACAACCGTTAGCAATAATTATCGGTAACAAATGTTCAATTACGAAGTTCAAAGTTCCTGCGCGATATTGCGTACTTGGGTAAGTCTTATTAAGTATTTTATATAAGAATAAATATTAATACAATCGAACTAAACACTTTATTTTATGTTATTTATGATAGATTTTATTTAATCACACATGCATGGGTTTGCATAATTATTTACCAATTTGAAAAATATGAAATTATGATTTCAAATATAACACATTAGCTAATTACAGGCGGAACTTGAAGACGGTGAAAATTTAAACGACGAAGAGGCTTTAAACGAAGATGCTTTAATCGACGAAGAGGCTTTAATAAACAACACTCCAGTAGCAAAAACTAAAAAACATAAATCGAAATCGAAATCGAAACCGTTTATTCGTTGGAAATTTCGCTTTGAATGGATAGATACTCAAGAGTTTTTCCCTTGGTGGGAAGACCCTGCGGAGATAAATAAAATGGATTTAGATGATCCAAATTCCGATAATAATGAAAATATGGAAATAGATTCCGACACTTGTAATACATGCAAACAACAATTTTTTCCAATTTATAATTCATGGATGTGCTTAGAAAGCTCATGCAAATCTTTTTGGAAGGTATATATATTAATCACATTTTCCACCCATTTTTACTATTATTAAATAAAGATAATTTAAAATTTTGTCCAGATATGGAATACTGTTAAAATGAGTTGGGAAAACGCGCCACAAGACCTGTCTTTTAACCCGATATTTTTAGTTCCTGGGTTTATTTCGGGGGAAATTCTATCAAGACCGCTCCCGTTTAGTATTATTCCTTCTCCTCCGATTGGACATAATAATATTGGTGCTTATTCTTTAATGCATTGGAAAGGATATCACTGTTTAAGATGTGGAAGAGTTTCATGTCGTGTTAAATGGAGCTGCTGGGAATGCATGAACTGCCACGTAAGTATTAATTTAATTATTCAGTGAAACAATTTCTTAATTTTTATTAATTATTTTCATCATAAAATAGAAAACTCTATCAGCTCTTAAAACGATTTTGGATAAATCTATGCTAGCCGATCCACATCGACTTGTTTTTACTGGACCTGCCACAGACTGTGAAGGGTCTATATTAAATGGCAGTAATATAACTCGGGATCGAACAATTTTGTCAAACGGAGTAATTTTGATGAAATATAATTTTCCGAATGACAACAGAATATTTCATTTTGTATCTAATGAAATATGTAATGAGATGCCTGATATTTTTTTGAAAAATTTTCAAGAAATAGACAACGAACAATTAAAAAGGCATCCTATAAAATCTAAACTCGAAACTCGATTATTTGCTAGACAGTTTACGTTGAACGTAGGTGAACATTATAAATTCGCCCTTGAATTAAATACTGTGCCATGGAAAGACGCTCCGAAAGTATGTAATGATACTCTTGATTATGTTAAAAAAATCATCGAGAACTTCGTTCCAGAAGTTAGCCATGATTTTAATCAAATGTTAGTAGCTATATACATGGAGGGGCAAAGAATGTCCTGGCACGATGATGGAGAAAAAGGTGTTGGTCCGATAATAGTTAGTCTATCACTTGGATCTCCTGCAGAAATGAAAGTTCGCCGTAAGCTAAAAAAAAAAGTCGAAGCCTCAAGTTCTAAATCTAGCAAAAATGATGAAAAAGGTGATTACACACCAACATTTCCCATTATGAGGCGAAATGGTCCTGAATTATTATTAAACTTAAATCATGGTGATATAGTAATAATGGCGGGTGACACTCTTCAAGAACATTATGACCAGTAAGTGTTATGAATTTGGTTCTTTTATTTACAGTATATAAATAAGAATATTAATATAGATTGAATCAATTTATTTAGTATGGTGGCTCCAAAAGGATTTCGGGTTGCCTGTACGATTCGAAAGATAGAAAAATAATTTTATTTATTAAATAATATATAAATAAATTAATAAAATAATATCAACGTTATTTATTTAAGGTTAGATTTTGCGCGAGTGCTTTTTATAATGAATTTCTCTTACAAATTACGAAAAAAAAGTGCAAACTTATATCTATCATGATTCCTTTTTATTTATAACATTGATTTTTATCGGGTTTTCTAGTGAAAAAAATGCGGTTTATTATAAAAATAAAAAATATCAGAATAAATTACAGGAAAAAACACGCAAAATGTTAGGTGAGAACTGTGAATTGTTCTTCATCTTGATCAATTATGACAGAAATTTATTATTCAGAGAAATTTTTAGCGAATTATCATTATAGGACGGCACAACAGTTTAGTAGCGGACGCATACGAGTAAAAACTAAGGGGAAGAGAAAAAATCCATTAATTCTTGCTGATGTACTTTTTATTGGGCCATGGATCGCTGGATACTTTCAGCATTTATTTTTTTTCTGACTTAATTTTATTAGGTGGTTCACTTGTAAGCGGAAAGATTCAAGTCAGTGATACTTAGAGACATAAAATTTCACTTTTTTGTTATTTAGGTGATTCTTCATAACTCTGGTTTTCCTTTATTCTTTTTACAATTGCACGTGATCTGGTCAACATCTGACGCCAATGGCACAACAAATACATCCAAACTTTGGCATCACAAACCTGAAGAATAAAAAAGGTTAATCTTTCTTGTAATGATTTTTTAATAATTATGGCACTTAAAACATCTCATTCCACCATTTAATTCTTGAAAATTTAGAAATTGGAAAGGATCAAATCCCCATTTCCTCATTAATTAATTTTATTCTTTGATACTTAGAAGCTATTCACGCACGTTTTATTGTACATGAATCTAATTATATTAACAAAATTCTAATCATAATTTCGAGGAAATGGCATACTATGGTGGATGAGGAGTAAACTAAGTTTACACATCACCACACATCACTATCAGAGTTTACACATCACCATCATTGTGCACCCAGTCACCAAAATTACTACTAGATACCAATATTTTCCGTGCAGTTTCCAAAGATCCATCCCCACCAATGTCTTCATATATTAACCTCATCGCCGTTTCAGGAATAAGAACTTCCATCATATAATCTGCTGGTTTCAATGGAGCGGTATTTTCTGATGTAAGAATATGAGTATTTAAAAATAACTTCATTAAAACATCTGAAATTATAAGAGCTCCTTTTGTTCCATAATACCCCGCCTAATTTATAAAATTCATTAAATTATTAATTATTAATTAAATTAAATAAAATTCAACGCAAAATAACTTACTCTTAATTCTTCAAATCGGTTAAGTAGCCCCAATGGGGATGCAGACTTTCGTCCATTCTTCTTATAATATTTTAATGCGCAGTTACGATAATAACTATCAGCAGTACCATCAATGATTTCCAAGAGATTATTTTTAAGCTTATGAATACGATCTGGCAATTCTTCAAAATTAATTACAGAAGGGTAATTATTTGCCACGCCATCTGAAGTGACTGATATCTCTGCAAAATGAATAAAACAGAATTCTGACGCTGGAATCTTCCCTAAAATATTCACTATTAGTAAATAATAAATGATTTTCCCTTCAAAAAAAAAATAAATATAATTCCAAATACCTTGTTTGATAAGCTCTGATGCTGATTTCAATCTATCAGACATTAAAATAGGTAAAGTAGCATTACAAAACGGACAACGTTCACTCGCTATGAATTGATAAATCATATCATTTTAATTAAATTCACTTGATTAAAATTGTTTATGCATCAATACATACTCCCGTCAACATTTTCATCTTTAAATAATTCTAATTCATAAAGTTCTAATTCATCAAGTCTCAAGAAATCCACATCAGTATCCAATTCATTAAAATCATCAGTAAATCTTTTCGGACTTGGCATTATGAATCGTTCACTAGGTAATTGTTGCGTATTATCTACATTCTAATAAATAATAGCAATACATTTTCTTGGTTATCTTTTAAATAAAATTAATTAAATTACTTAAATTACTCTTTGATACATTTTTTTTTCGTGAATTTCTTCTTTTAGTCTGTTTTTTTTGTACAGAAGGTGATTTCGACGAATTTGGGGGTATAATAATTGATGCCGATCTAGTTCTGGGACGTAGGTCATAAGTCGAAATGACTTGATTTGATATAGGGGTTCTTTTAGTCCTTTTACGTGAAGCCGACATTTTCTATAAACATAATTATTTTTTTTATTAAGAAATATATATTTACACATTTAATAATAAATATAAGTATTTTAATTTAATAAATTAAATACGTTGAAGCTTATTTGTTTCTATATTGTTGAGTAAAGTCCGTTTTGACAATTGACACGCGAAACAACTAACTGCTATTACGCGTTAAAAGAGTTAAATAGTACCTACAGCGCCTAGGAAATACGATACGCGAAAGACAGCATAGTATTTATGTTCTTTTTATAATAATCAAGGTTACACTAATAGTCACGAGACATATAATATACCGATTCATATTTTATTGGTTAATTGTTAAATAAATAAGAAAGATCAAAAAAAAAAACCATCTATGGTGGCTGTCACCTATAAACAAAACAACAAACAAACAACAATAGTCCGAAATTTGAAATTTTTTTTATTTATATTGTTAAAATATAATAATTGCCGCGTGAATTTTATGTTTTTATGCCTGTTTTCATTATCATTTGTTCCAGTTTGTGCCTAAAACAGGAAATCCAGACGTGTCCAAAATGTCAATTTATTACGCTATAGTATAGTACCGTAAAGGATCCCCTTTTCCACATTTTCCGCGTACCCCATAGTAATATAACTGGATATTTTATTAGACAAAAAAAAAATTTTTTTGATTTAGACCCGGGTATTATCATACTTGTAACTTTATTACTTAATTGCGTTACTTAGTAATAAATGATAAACTTGTATTATTTAATTTGTGTTACCTAATTTACCAAACTGTATTGCTTAAATGAGGAGTTATTAAAATATTAAACCCAAATTACCCAATAACATTGTCTTGCCAATAAAAACAAAATTTTTTAACCTGTTATTTTAATACGGTAATATACGAAATTCAATCAGTCAAAAAACCTTTACTTTATTACATAATACGTTATTACCATAACAGTATGCATAAAGGCATTAGCTGAATTATTAATTCCAATCCTGAATTACAGTCTGCTTCACTTTCATTACTATCCCCTGATTCACTTTCATTACTATCTCCTGATTCGCTTTCATCACTGTCTTCTATTTCACTTTCGCCACTTTCTTCTGATTCACTTTTATCATAATCTGAATCATTTTCGCTACTTTCTTCTGAATCATTTTCGTTTCTCTCACCTTCAACGTTTCTCTCACCTTCAACTTCCAAGATCTTCTCTATTACCCTATTTTCTAATCGATCAAAATCAAAAATTAAAGTATCTTCTGTCCCATATATAGCATTTGAAACGCCACAACACTTGAACGACCGCCTTATCATATTGATATTGATAGCATCCCAACCTTCCATTACCATCTTGCTACAAGTGAGTAAGATGGTCTTTTGATTTTCCATAATTCAATTTTTAAATCGCTGAAATTGATATAAACCCGGATAGGTACTAGAGTATTATGTAAAATTTGCATGCCAAAGAACTGAAGTAAAATTCCGTGATGGTACATTCGTTCCTAAATATATAATTTAATTACCGTTTGAATTAAACGAACTGAACGAAATTAAATAATTTTAGAATATTCAGAATATTCTCACTTTAATATTGATCTTTTAGAAGATTTCTTGATCAAAAAAAAATCGAATTAATTGTCTATTGCTATGCACTAGACGATTTGATCGTCAACCCATTTGATTATGTCACTTCGTCACGTCTGATAAAATCGATCATCACGTTTTGAAATTTTTCTTGAATATTTTTTTTTCTCGTTTTTATTTTATTTTTTAACAGTTCGTTTTAGTTTTCTTTCTTTTTATGTCCTTATGTTCCTCGGTTCTGCAGCAATAGAATTGTTTCCTTCTTTTTTCTTTTCGCTTCTCGTTGTTGATTTCCTTTCTTTCTTTAGGACTTCAAACTCATCAAAGGTACATTTCCTTCTTATTATTTCTTCGGTTCTGCAATCAAAGGCATGTTTCCTCCTTATTTCTTTTTTTTTGTTTCGTGTTTCTTGTCTCTAATTTTTTTTCTTTCTTTTGGTCTCTAGGTTCTTCAGTTTTGCGACAAAGGTACTTTCTTTTTATTCTGAATTTTGTTTTTATTTTTTACCCTTTGTTTCTAATTTTCCTTTTTCTTTTAAGTCTTTAAGTTCTTCCAATTTGTGAACGTACTTTTTTCTTTTTATCCCTTTCTCTATGGGGTTTACCTTGATCTTTTCTTGGTCTTGTAAATTTCGTCCTTAATCTTCATTCCCCCTTTCTTTATTTTCATTCTTTCTTTTTCCCCAATTTTCATCATCTTTTATTTTTAATAAAGATATAAATTTCGCTCCGGACTCATACCGGTTTCCATTTCCTAGTAATATAAAACTATTCCAATCTTCCCATTGACTCTAGATATCAACGAATTCACGGATTCCTCTGATGAGTTGATTATGCTAAATTAATTGGACCTTGCCTATTAGCTTGTAAATTTCTTATGTTATAAAAATAACATATTAAATGTTTGTTTCTGATTAAATATCTACCAATCAAATTCTATGTGCGCAATGTGCGGAAGATTGGTCACGTGTGAAGTTTTGCACGTTCAGTTCTATTTCAGTTTTAATTCTTATGGATCCCTTATAATAGATATTTACCATCATTGAAAACTTTGCTAACATGACTTTTCAATACAGCTATACAACTAAACAATCAAAGAAAAACGAATTAAAAAATTGATACTTCCTCATCAAAATTTGAAATTTTTCTAAAAAAAAACCTTACCTTCTTTTCAATAAATCCCATATACAATACTACAATCGTTAGCATCAGATAATTTTCAATTAACTAATAATTCCTCCATGTTCATGAAATTATGTGTACCCAATAACCTCTATATATCGCATACTTTTTATTGTACTATCAGCTGATCCTGTTACAACTTATATGTAGCATGTATAAAAATTTTGATGAAATGTTGAAATGGTATGCTGGAAAATGGGATTAATTCTATTCTTACGTAAAATTTCTTTTGACTTATTGAATGCTTCCATCTTTGCATCAATGCTGATTGACCAATAAGCATTGAATTTAATAACTGTATTATATTCAAATTTTCATTTAGAACTCTACTGTATTAATTTAAGTCTTTCGGTACCTTCGAAATATTAGAATTGGCTTCCCTATGAGTTCACCCAAATCCGCTGATTGAATTTTAAATTTCCCTCGTCACAATTTACATAATTCTTGATCTGACTTCGTTCAACTCGAGATTTCTGAACTTACCTCATGACAATTAGACTTTAACGCTTGAGTTTTTGAGTATCGTCTTGATCAATTAAATATGTGTGTTTCTTTTTGACCTTACTGGTACTTGAAGGCTTATCATTGTTGAAAATTATTTTTTCTAGGACTCCATTCTTTTTTTGTTTCGCGTTACCAGACCATCCTGATCTTTGCTCTTAAATTTAATATCTCTATCTCGCTCGCTTACTATATCTTTCTGAGATTTTGATTACCACAAAGATTTCTGAGAGATTTTAGCGATATTTGTCTGCGGTTTTAGATTAGACAGGTGAACGACTGCAGTAATTGCAATCTGGATCTAGGCTTTTGGATTTTTAAGATTTATCAGATTTTTTTGAAGAAGTTTCAACAATTCTAACGAACTCTAAAGTTTGATCCTTAATTTTAGGAATTATTTCGGGTTGTCAAACTTTCCGTTTGATTTTCACGGTCCATAGATAAATCACAAAAGGTTGACCAAGTAAGCATAATTCTTCACCTTTAAGTATTCCTTTGATTCTGAAGTCGTTGGACTATGGTATATCCTAAAGAATAACCAGATTCAGACATATGAATGTTGTATAGCCGTCGGTTTACGCGATTTTGTAGTTTTTACGGTATATTTCTTTTTTGCTTGGAATAAAAATACTTGTAATTTGTGAAAATACAAGTATCGTTTTTTTACACATGATTTCCACTGATTATGTAGGTACGTCACACATCAATACACTGATCACAACCATATCATTTACTTTAAGAAAAGCGAGAATATTTCATTTACAATGTGAGAAGAGAAGTTCCAAAATGTTGAAATAACATGGGAAGTTGGGAACTATTGAATGTATAATATCTATTTGTATAATTTTAGTTTAAATCATTGCTCGTGGATGTACACATTGCAAGCACTATAATCTACTAGTCCCATTATGCAATTCTTTAAAAAAAAAGCTCAAAGCTTCTTTTTATCAGCATTTCCACTTTTTGTCAAATTTCATTTCAATGATTTAATTAATTTTTGGTTCATACTATAACTTTGAATATAAAATAATAAAAATTTGAGAGAATTCACTACCGACAATTTTTTTATTATTGGAAGGAAACTTTTTTAAACGACACCATGATCTGATTGACTAAAGTACATGAATGTAAAGTTGAAAAATCATTCTCAAAATATAATATGACATCATATGTTAGTTCTTGTAACTCGAAAGAACTTCCTAAATGTTACGCCATATCACTTTGACGTAAAAATTCGTTTCCTTAGTCCCTTTTGCATCCTAATTATTTTGCAATATAGTGTTACTCTTTTGCAGGTGAAATGCTCGCTCTAACATAAAACTCTTCGACATCCAGGTCCTTTTACAAATATCAAGTTAATTCATGATTTTGTTTTTATTATTAGCGTTCTCGTTTGGTACATCCATTACGTTAATTACGTTTTAAATACACAAAAATATTATTCATAATTTTTAAAATAAAGATACTACTGTAGAAATGTAGAATTATTGGTTTAGTTGGGTATAGCATAAGGGCTTTAAATAGGGTATAGGGTATTAAAAATATATTTTCAGTTATTACTTTGTTGGGTCATGCCGAATATTCACTTTAAGAGCGAGGTAATTTTAAAAAAATTTACACGGACGAGTATTTTCTCAACCAGTATTTGAAATTAAGAGTGATCCGTGTCAATTACAATAAACATTAGATAACGTGTGTAAAAAAGAATGTAATGTAAAGAAGCTTGTAAGAAAGATATGCTTATCTGTTATATATAATTGCATATTAATATACAACTCCCACGTTAATTACGAGTTATTTGTCGACTTCTTGACTTGTATAGGAAAGAATTTTCCAACATTTATTAAGTCCGAAGCAGGTGCACTTCGGACTAATGTATCACAATCTAAAATTAATTCTATTCCTGACGAATCTATTTGTCTTATTTGTCGGGTAACATTATTGCGCGCCCGTCCGCGCCACATTAATTTTTTTTTGGCTTGGCCTTTACAGACATCAATTCCACGTTCTTAGTTGAAACTTTTCCCGAAATGGTCATTGATTTCGTAGATGTGAGACTTCATCTCTGTAACAAAATTTCACACGAATCACTTTATGGCACACGGAAACATTCTAAATTGGAATATGCAAGCCTCAAACTTATCGTCAACTGATAAATTTATCCCCGTTGGGTGAACAATTTTTTTATTCGATCATGATAACAGTTGCTGATCGATCTGATGGATAACGGGATATAAACAAATCATGCTAACATACTCTTGTATCAAGAATTCAAACGTGACTGTAGTAAAATATTTTCTCAAGATAAAATATTATTGTTGGAGAATTTATTATCGTTCCATCTTTAACGTGCACACATTAGATAGCGATCTTTTAAAATCGTCGCGCAATACGACATCAGAGAGTGAAATTTAAAAAAGAAATCACGACAATTTCAGTATACGACAAAGTTATTTGAAAAAAAAATTTTATTTTATTTTATTTTTTTCTTAAATAAAAGTCCCTCTATAAAATAAATTCGTTTATATTTCGAAAAAAATATATTTTTAAAATTTGGTCCTATAGGACATGTTGAATTTATTATAATTGCGTAAGAATGATTTTGTATTTACATGATATAAAAAAATTAATTTGATATAATATTAGATCTAATATAAAGGGCTTATGAAAGGGTATATGATATATAAAAATAATATGATGATTAAACATGAATAATTGAATTTAAAGACAAATAAGAAAGTAAATGAAGATAATGCATAACAAATATTAAATGTCCTATTTTAAAATTTTTGAATTTAGCATGTTAATTTCCTAACTATATTTAAGAATTATTATATTATATTAATTTTGAAGTAATAAGAATTATAATATTAAATTGAAAGCGTAATTTGTGAAAGAACACATGATTCATACATGTTACGTGTAAATAAAACAGCAATTTACATATTTATCATATTACGCAATAATTTCAGGATATTTCATAATTATATTTTGTAGGGTGTAGGGTTTCGTTTATCTAAAAAAACAAAAGAAATAAATTTTTAACAAATTAATCCTTGATAATTTAATACAATGTGGCTTATATATACATACTTTCGGTTTTCTTTAGCCTTAACTTTTATTGTGCGAAAAGAATTATTAAAAGATGGGAATTTCAATCTACAAAAACGAAAGAAATAATTTTTAATGATTATTCCGATAATTTTATACATGGTTAGTACATACAAACATACATACCACCAAAAATGTTCAAAATGTCGTTTCGTGTGAGAAGAAAAATTTCAACAAAAATTTTTTTAAATGACGGAAAGGTCTTGAATGACGGAAGGGGGGTCTTTAATGAAGGAAAGATTTCTTTAAGACGGAAGGTCCTAGATGACGGAAAGTCTTAAATGACGGAAAGCCTTAGATGACGGAAGGATCTTAAATGACGGAAGGATCTTAAATGTTTAAACGGAAAGGGGGGTTTTTAATTGATAGAAAAAAGAAAAAAAAAAATGGCTACGATGCTATGTAGGGCTATAAATACATAATGCGTAATGTGCAAAATAAACATGTTATAACACGTTTTACTTTCGATAATCAGTTATCAGCGCAATCAGTACGATCGTGAGAAATAAAATTGTTATCGGGATTCGGGAGCATCGGGAGCAACTAACAAAGCACGAAACACGCCTACAGAAGCGCAAAAGGAGAAAATAAAACATTTTGCACGTTTTTTTGACATCATTTTCACCAACTCGTCTAAAATTACGTCTTCTGATATTACATGAACTTCACGCCACATCAAATAGGAATTATGCATCTTATCGGAACTTCCAAAATTTTGATGCCGTGTTTGCGCAGCGACAAAAATTACACGCAAAAGGTTACCCAATTGGTTTGTGTACTCTTGTACATTCCCGTTTGAAATGATTAAAAGATTTATATGTATAAATAAATCTCATGATAATCATGATTTGTTTACATTACACAATCCACTATATTTATTCCTGATGAAACGGTAAAAAGTTGTTAACATAATCGACATAAAGTAAAGTATAGATATTGCAAAATATAACACTCATGATCACCAACGGGATAGATTTATCAGTTAACGATAAGCCTGATGAAATGACCTATTAGGGCTTATTAAGGCTTAGGTTAAAGTAAAGAGGCTTGCATAGAATATGTTTCCGTGTGTAATAAAGTGATTCATGTGGAAACTTGTTACAAAGAGATGAGTGAGATCAAGGAAGCTTACGCTCATTTTTGGAAAGAGATTTGTTTTTTATTCAACTAAGAACGGGATTACGGGAATTGAAGCAAAGCAGATCTACAAAAAAGTAAAAAATAGGTTAATGTACAAAAAGTTTGTGGCTTGACCCGACAAATAAATCCGGGCTTACCCTTCTGCTGTTTAATCCTAAACCTGTAGCCTAATTTAGTAATTCGGATGTATGCTATTATTACCTATCTAGTTTAACGCTTTTAAACGCGACATTTTGACGATAAAGCTTTTTAACGCGACATTTTGATTTTTATCTACGATAAAAAATATAATTTCAGTTTACTGAGCACATAAAAATGAGTTCTTCCAGTTTTCTCCCAAGCAATAATGATAAAACTGTCCTGACTCAACCAGCAACTTTTCATATACAACCACATTCTAAACAAAAGGTTTCTTATTTTCACCATAAAGATGTCGGAAACTTTCATTTTGGTGTAAGTTATCTAGAAACTAGCTTTAATGTTACCGTTAATTTTTAAATATTTATGTCCCACATAAAACAGTTACAACATCCAATGAAACCTCATCGTTTGGCTTTAACGAATAATTTGGTTTTAAGTTATGGCCTTCATAAAAAAATGACGGTTTATTGTCCGCCTAAAGCGACCGATGATGAATTAATGGAATTTCATGAAGTAGATTATATTAAATTCTTGAAAAAAGTAACACCGGAAAATTCTGAAGAATTCGCTATAGATTTTCCTAGGTTCAACATAAATGCGGATTGTCCAATATTCGAAGGATTGTATGATTTTTGTCAGATATATGCAGGTGCTTCAATAGCTGCGGCACATCATTTAGCATCAGATGGAGCTGATATATGTATTAATTGGAGTGGAGGATTACATCATGCGAAAAGGTATGAGGCTTCAGGATTTTGTTTCGTGAATGATATAGTTTTGGCGATTCAGCATTTACTAAGGTTCGTAAAAAAAAAAAAAATAATAAGTTTTTTTTGAATGAATTGTATATTTTACTCAAAAGTATTTCATCATTAAAAGGTTTTATCCACGCGTTTTATATATTGACATTGATATACATCATGGTGATGGTGTGCAAGAAGCATTTTTTGCCACAGATCGAGTTATGACAGTATCATTTCATAAATATGATGGTAGCTTTTTCCCTGGAACCGGAAATACAAGCGAAATTGGTTGCGGATTAGGCAAATTCTTTTCTCTAAATGTACCTCTGAAAGATGGAATTGATGATAATAGCTATGTTACATTATTCAAGGAAGTTATGTTAGATGTAAGAGATCATTATCAACCAAGTGTTGTTGTATTACAATGTGGAGCAGATTCTCTCGGAAAAGATAGATTAGGAGGTTTTAATATAAGTATTAAAGCTCATGGGGAGTGCGTAAGATTTATAAAAAGTTGGCAGGTTCCCTTGTTAGTTCTTGGAGGTGGGGGTTATAGAATTCCTAATGTAGCAAGATGTTGGACTTATGAAACTGGAATATTACTTGATACTGAATTACAGTCTGAATTACCACAAAAGACTCATTATTATAATTTTTTTGGTCCAGATTTTTCATTACATCCACCGCTTGTAAGAAAGATAGACGATTTAAATAAAAGAAGTGATTTAAAACAAATTTATCAGGAAGTTCATGAATTGTTGAGATTTTTAGATGGGGCTCCAAGTGTTCAAATGCAAGAACTTCCGGGGAATTTACAAAGTATATTTAATGGAATTGATGAGGAATTTAGAGATGTTGGTTTTAGAGGTAGGAAACCTTTAATGTGGAATGAAAATGAATATTTCGACGGAGATAGTGACAACGATAAATGGTGATATGATTTTATGGAATCTTAGTGATTGGTAAGATGTTTATATCAGTTTTTATTCATTTTCGTTTCAAAATAAAAATTACACTTGGCTAAAGGACAATCTAATTCAATTTATTGGACAAAATAAGCATATCATTAAGAAATTGGGCTTTAAAGGACGTTGACTAAAATAGACAAAAAAATAAACTTGGATATTTGCAGCTAATTGTTCTAATTATCATATATTTGGTTTCTAATCCTTTCACGAATTTTTATTGTTTATGTCACCATCGAACATTATAGTATCATAACATATTCGAAAGAGTGCAATTCGAACTATATTTTCTGGAAATTCTATTAAATTTACTTAAAGAATAATATATTCAACCTAGGCTTCTTTCATCAGCTCAAATCCCGAGTATGCCTACAACCATAACTAGCAGTTGTTACAGCAAGACTGTTTCCACTAGATTCACGAGTAAGACAGAATTTGTACACCAAATAATCTATAATAAATAATAAATAATAAATAATAAAAGATTAAAGCTAAAGTTTCCGCATCAATCCCTTCAATATATATATAATTTGAATGCGGCTAATAAATCTGATAACATATTTAAAAAATCATGAGCAACAACTCGCGATTTGTGTCCAAATTGTTTTCGTTTAACGAAACTCCCATGTACTAGGTACAATGATGGTCCTAATCATTTTGTCATAATTGAGCTTGTAAGTGAAAGAGCAAGATAACGGCTTGATTTTCTAAATAATCTTTATTTTAACCATATTATCAAGATTTTATTAATAAAATCAAATGTGTTGGATACAACGTTTGAACCAGTTTGAAACCGTTTAGCTCTCTTTAATTATTTAATTTCGGCTGTTTATCTTTCCTCTTATAACGTCTTTCGGTGATAAATAATTCTTGATGAAAGACATTGTATTGCAACGCAAACACTGTAGGATGTGTAAACAGTGTTGGCTGTTCAGCTGCAATCATTCCTAAAAAAGCATTAATGTTAAAGTCTTTTTTAATATATTTGATCTTTATTCAACACATATCACTTTTAATAAAAAAAACATATAATATTTTTTATGAAATTATACCTTCTTTATTATACTAACAAGTGTACTAAAATAACAATAGAAAATCTCAATTAATTTGACCAAATTTTTTTATCGTATCATCACTATTGTATTATAAATTTAATTTCAATATAATTATAGCTCAAGCATCAAAACCGCGTGAAATTGTTAATTGTTATTCATGTTGCTCTTACTGTTCATACCCAGCGATGAATTCTTTAACAGTATGACATCGTCAATTTCCGTCAATTATCATTAAATCTTATGAATCTTCTTTGTATATTTTTTTTTCTTCTACATTAGAATATCTTCCCTTGAATAACAATTTTTTTTTTTATCATCATGCCTTCACTAGTCAATACACCAATTCTTTTCTTTTAGTTTGTTGTGTCGCAATCATATCTAAGTGATCGAACAAAGGATGAAATTTGATTCATTATCTGCCGGTGAAGCTGCCAATGATAAATATATTACAAATAATTCGATATACTTGAACTTTGAATTTTTTAAATTTTTCACGTATGGAATAACATTTTGCTTACCTCCTCTTTTTTTAGATTTTCTTTTAAAAGCCCATCCACTTGATAATGCAAGTCGAACTGAACACGTTAACAAAGTAGTAAAACCAATGTATAAGCCGAAATCTTAGAAGGAAGCAACACCTTGAGGATCCTTACGGTTATGATAATGTATCATGTGCGTTATATGCAACGTTTTCTATTAAAATAATTAAAAAATATATATCTTATGGAGCGTTAAATCAATAACCAACAACACTTTCTATCTTCTCTTAGATTTGTTCTTTCTTTTAATTTATAGATTTACTTTTTTATTTTATTTTTTTTAAGTTACAGTACAAATTACATAGAAACTACATACTAGAGTCAAAAGTAATTCAAACAATCTGTAAGCCAAACCGCGATAATGCCGGCGTCACCTTGGTTGTAAAGAAACGAAAATGGGTGACTTTTTCGTATTACCGTATATCACGCATGATAATTTTTTAGGTCTTAAATAATAGTAAATGTGTGATGATAATCTATATGACGTAATGCGTCAAAAATATCAGAAATATTTTACGCAATAATAATTTGATCCTATTTGGCTGCATAATAACAATAACTAAAGGTGATGCAATTTTTTATGAAGAATATAATATATAACAGGTTTATTCTTTTACATATTTTATAATATGAATAAAATTCTGAGTTTAATATCTAATTCATGTTTTTTTTTGATGTTAATATTTGCTTCTAAAAATCTATGTACACATTATATTCACCGAGGTTAGATAAATTTATTCCAAAAAAAAAGGAGTTTAAAATAAAAAAATACGAGTAATATTAAAAAAAAATCATTTATCGTCATGAGAATAGAAAAGATGAAGAAGAAAATCGGAGAGGAAAGAAAATAGAAAATACAATTAAAGAAGATTTAATGTAGCAATACTTGTGATTCGTCTATACTATGTGAGGAACTCTAGATTAGGTGAAAGCAGAGCCTACTCCAGGAGTTAAAGAAATTTCGTTATTTATTCACTGTGGTAGGGTTTTGGCGAATTCTTTTACGTTGGGGTTTTTCACGTGACCGTTCTTGTCTTTTACTCTTATGACGGTGATGACGTATCCCGGCGGTGTTCTTGGAACATCGATGGTTTCAAGACCAAGGCGTATTGATCAATTTTCAATTTTTGACATTTCTTCACTTGTTTGTTTAAGAAGACTGTTCTTTTATGCGCCTTGAATATCCTAACAAAAGAAAAAGAAGTCATTTGATCTTTTAGTAAATAGTTTATCAAATTACCATGAAAGACGACATTCAAGATAGTAAATAATTTTTTATCATAGATTACCTTGAAGGATAGGATATATAATATTTTTTTTTTTTTTTTTGATCGCGAACGTAACTTCGTCCCTTTCCTAGGAGTACGCAACGTCTGGTAGTCGGCTTGCTTCTTTTTTCTCGAGAGGACGAAAGGAGCGCCGATATTTGATTCTTGGTGTGGATTTTTTTTTTTATCACGAACGTAACTTCGCCCCTTTCTTAGGCGTACGCAACGTCTGGTAGTCGGCTTGCTTGGGCATTGCTATTGTGAGTAATAAAACAAAAGAAAAAGAAATCATTGATCTTTTAATAAATAGTTTTTTATCAAATTATCATGAAAGACGACATTTCAAAAGAAAAAGAAGTCATTGATAATAAATAATTTTTATCATAAATTACCTCGAGAACACAATGATCCTTTTATTTCAACTTTGTAAACTTTAAAACTTAACCGAAAGCACCTTTTCTTTGCGCGTTGACGTGCAAATTCTCGATCTTCGGCTTTCATGATTCTTTTCTTGCTATTCTTGTTCCTATTAACACAATTTTAAAAATTAGCCATATAATAAAAGTTGGTCAGTTTGCTATTTAATCTTTTTGCAGCAGCTGCCGCGGTTTTTCGTCAAAAACTGCCCGCACAACTATACAAAATCACCAAAACCACCATACCCTTTTACAGTTACCACGAAACACGATCCTATTTCAGTAACTTGCAATTTTGTATATAAATAGGGGTCTTAGGAACGAGAAAAGAAAAGAAAAGAAAAAAGATGAAAGCGAAGGAAAGAGAAGTTGCTCGTCAACGCGAAAGGAAAGGAAAGGTTTCGAAAAAGTTTTAAAGTTTAACGACTGTTTAGACTTAGAGTAAGACCTATATTTATATACATACTGAATTAGGATCGTTTTCGTATTTTCTTTTTTTTTTTTTGTGAAGTTGGAAGTTGTGTGAAGAACTTTAGATTGTTGATTCGTAACTAGTGAATTTAGGATCATGTTTCGTGTTTTGTAACTGTAAAAGGGTATGGTGATTTTGGTGATTTACTGAATTAGGATTTAAGATCGTGTTTCGTATTTAGTCAGTTACGTAAAATCGGTCACGATCCTAATTTCACCTAATTCAGTAAATCACCATAATACTTTGTAACACATGTAATAACAAATTGCGCGACGTGAGGCGTATGCAATTTTTTTATGAAGAATATATAATATATAACAGATTTATTCTTTTACATATTTTATAATATCTGATATGAATAAAATTCTGAGTTTAATATCTTATTCATGTTTTTTTGTTCACCGAGGTCAGAAAATTTATTCCAAAAAAAAGGGAGTTTAAAATAATAAAATTAAAATAAAATCAGAAGTTAGAAAATACAATTAAAGAAGATTTAATGTAGTGATTCGTCTATACTATGTGAGGAACTCTGGATTAGGTGAAAGCAGAGCCTACTCCAGTAGTTAAAAAAATTTCGTTATTATTCACTGTGGTAGGGGGGTTTTTTGACGAATTCTTTTTACGTTGAGTTTTTTCAATCTCACGTGACCGTTCTTATCTTTTACTTTTATGACGGTAATAACACGTGTCCCGGCGGTTGCTCTTGGAACATCGTCGTCTCCCGATGTTTTCAAGACCAAGGAAGGCGTATTGATCAATTTCAATTTTTGACATTTCTTCACTTGTTTAAGAAGACAATGTTCTTTTATTATGCGCCTTGAATATCCTAACAAAAGAAAAAGAAGTCAATTGATCTTTTAGTAAATAGATTATCAAATTACCATGAAAGACGACATTTCCAAAGAAAAAGAAGTCATTTATAGTAAATAATTTTTTATCATAAATTACCTTGAAGGATAGGATATTTTTTTTGATCGCCGTCCCTTTCCTAGGAGTACGCAACGTCTGGTAGTCGACTTACTTGGGCATTGCTATTGTGAGTAATAAAATAAAAGAAAAAGAAATCATTGATCTTTTAATAAATAGTTTTTTATCGAATTATCATGAAAGACGACATTTCAAAAGAAAAAGATGTCATTGATAATAAATAATTTTTATCATAAATTACCTCGAGAACACCCTTTTGTAAACTTTAAAACTTAACCGAAATCACCTTTTCTTTGCGCGTTGACGTGCAAGCTCTCGATCCTCGGCTTTCATGATTCTTTTTCTTGCTATTCTTGTTCCTATTAACACAATTCTAAAAATTAGCAATATAATTAAAAGTTGGTCAGTTTGCTATTTACCCTTTTTGCAGCAGCTGCCGCGGTTTTTCGTCAAAAGCTGCCCGCATAACTATACAAAATCACCAAAACCACCATACCCTTTTATAGTTACGTTATTACGTTCACGAAACACAGTAACTTGCAATTTTGTATATAAATAGAGGGTCTTAGGAACGAGAAAAAAAAAGAAAAGAAAAAAGATGAAAGCAAAGGAAAGAGAAGTTGCGCGTCAACGCGAAAGGAAAGGAAAGGTTTCGAAAAAGTTTTAAAGTTTAACGACTGTTTAGACTTAGAGCAAGACCTCTATTTATATACATACTGAATTAGGATCGTTTTCGTATTTTCTTTTTTTTTTTTTTTNTTTTTTTTTTTTTTTTTGTGAAGTTGGAAGTTGTGTGAAGAATTTTAGATTGTTGATTGATTGTTGATTCGTAACTGGTAAATTTAGGATCGTGTTTCGTGTTTTGTAACTGTAAAAGGGTATGGTGATTTTGGTGATTTACTGAATTAGGATTTAAGATCGTGTTTCGTATTTAGTCAGTTACGTAAAATCGGTCACGATTCTAATTTCACCTAATTCCATAATACTTTGTAACACATGTAATAACAAATTGCGCGACGTGAGGCGTATGCAATTTTTTTAATAAAAAAAGTAGTACTAACGTAAAAAGAATATTAAAACATGTAAAATTCCGTAGTATAGAAAATAGACGTGTTGTTTGTCAAATTTTATATACTATTTCTGTGGGTGGTATATCAATCATTACATCATAACCCATCTCTTTAATCATAAATTTGAATAAAAATTTCGATCTGGATAGAACAAAGATAGAACCGTTATCCGGATATCGTAATTGTTGCGCCACTACTATCACTACTATAATGATGGATTTAAATTTAAAATTTAAAATTTTATTATCCGGATTTCTGGTTAAAATCTGGATATTTTTACAATAACCGGATATTTTATTCCGCAATTATTCCGCAATCATCCGGATATTCGAGAAAATAAAATTATCCGGTTGAAAATTTCCAGCCTTCTTTTTTTTTTTAAAAAAAAAAAATTCTCGTTGATATTTACGCATTGACATTATCATATGGTCGGCTTTTTATTTTTCTCAGAAGGCAGAAAAGCCTCTAACAAGGTAAATTCAAGAATTCTTAGTTGTGAAACAATTTTTCAACCAATTTTACTTTTCAATTTCTTTGTATTACAATATAGATTAAAGAATAAATGAGAAATCTAGAACTTAATCAAACCATTTTAAGCCATAAATCAATAAATAAACTGGTTGAGAACAATCAGGCCATAAGGGGATGCTGTGTAATAAGCGACGCGTCCTGTAATTGATTCTTATGAGAATGAGATGATTCTTATGAGTTGATCCTGAGTCGAAATAGAATATTCACGGGATGAACCAATTGAACAATTTTTTTTGAAAGACTTGATGATATACAGTAAATATTTACTAAAAATAGATAATAAATTTTCTTATCACGATAACAAAATTAAACTTAATAATTTTTATGCCTTTGGGTAATAACTATTACCCAAGGTTTTTACACAAATAAAAAAATTAAACGAAAGGGAGTATACCCTGTTATATAAAATAAGATAAATAATCATGTTCCTAATCATTTAAATCCTTTTCATTGTTCCTGAATTCAGTTTTTTGTACAATAACTTTTGACAATAAATAATAAATGATGCAGATCGTACAACGACAAAATGAACTAATAATATGATGGGTTGACGACATATTACACTAAGATTTTGCGATAGCAAGAATTGTTGGACAAAAATAAAAAAAAAAGAGAATATTCTAAAACAAAGGAGAAGTTATATTTAAGAATTCGATTTACCGATTTAAACTACGATTTATTTTATTTAACCAATAATATTATTTTAGAAGAATTTTTGACAATATACGTTCAATTTAAGGAAATCAATGTTAATAAAATTAAATTGTACAATACTTAATAAATAATTTAGGTTAGAATCGTGTAATTATATGGAAAAATAAATTTTATATCTCAAATGAGGAAATAAATATTAGAATAATTTTAAGAAATGTATCATGGAAACAATGTAATAGATTTTTAGAGATGTTATAATCTAATAATTTAATATCATGGAATAGAATAATTCTAAGAAATGTAGTAAATCAAAATACGATTTACTACAAGATTTGAAAGAGTTTTATTACGGGGCGCGATGAGGGGATATTGAAATATTCTCTTTTTTTCGCACCCCGTTTGAGAAATTATCAAACAATGCTTAATAATTTCATTGATATATAATAATAGTACGATAATTTTTATTTAGAAAAAGTGAGATTAATGTGCAAGTGTTGTTTGAGATTCATTTTTTATTTGGAAAATAATTATTTTTTATTTTTTTTTTTTCCTTGTTGATTTTTTAACTACGAGCCTATTTATAATGTAGCTAAATCTGTCAATTTAATTGCCTATACGACATATTTAGAAGTTTAATGTTCGAATTTAAAGAAAACAAAATTGAGAGGAAACACAAATAAACCGAACGTATATTTCTGTGATCCCTAATTTAATTTGACACGAGTTTTAAATTAAGCTTTATTTAATAATTGATAAAACTTTGATAAAGAACAATGTTAAAAAAATTATATGCGATTGTAAAGACAATGGTAAAATAACGGAGAAAGGTTAGAAATTTTTTTTTTTTTCTTTTTTCTATTGTTATAAATGATGATAATATTTTCATGAAACATAATCATTTATAGTGATATATAAAAATTACTATACTTGGAAACAAAAAATTGACAAAATCAGTTTAATTAGTTTAATTAGTATTTTATTAATTGTTCTCGTTACTATTCCTTATACTACTATGATTTTATAATTTAAAATAAGATTTCATAAAATGAAATGAAATAAAAAAAAAAAAAAAAACTTTACTATTATCAAAACATCGGATGGGTCACTTGCATACCCTGATTATATTGCATCCATACAAGTTATTATACAAGATTATTGGATCATTGCCTGTTTTTATTTTATTGATATCAATTTTTGGTAAATTTATCAAAGTAACAGGTCATTCAATGAGAAAAAATTTTGATTGAGTAACATTTTGTGGGAAAGTTATAATCAAAATTTAGAATGCCGATCGTTTATCTATTTCCTAATCGAACGCACAAAAAGAAAAATAAAATTGTAATTATTGTTCCATTTTGATTTTTCACGAACAAATAAAAATATTTTTTTTTGATAAATAATATTATTCGTTTGATAAAAGATAAGCCATAATTGGATAATTATTTAGAAACTCCGTTGAAAATTGTCACTAAAAAACTTAAAAAATTTTAACATATTTATTTATAAATAGGTTATCATTAAAAAAGATTTAGGGGAAACAAATAATTTGGGGTTCAAAAATAATGTTGGCGTTTAATGATTGATTTTTGAATTATTGAAAAAAGGAAAATTGAATGTAATATGATAAGTTACACGTTTCTATGAAGTTGTATGTTTTTTATTCTTACTACTGAAATTTTTAATGATTTTATTACTTAATAAAATTACCTAAATTAAATAATATAAAGTCATAATCATTTCTTTTACTCACTTTTATTTATTTTCTTTGATCAGATGAAAAAGTTTTTATATATTTTAAAGTTAGAATTACAAAATCTGTGCATCCAATAAAGCCATAAAGGAACAAATCTTCCTTATCTTCTCATCAGCTTTAATGTAAATATACATATTTTACTGCTGCAAAAATCTCGTGTGCAAAACCTTATTTATACACAAATTACTGTTTTAATTTATATGTCATACATATTAATACTATCATTAAATGCAAATCAATGAATTTCGTTTATTTATGTAAATCAAATACTTTAAAATCTTTATTAGAGATCAATAGTAATAACGAACTGACACTGACTTGCTGATCGAAAATCGTCAGTTCTTCATAATTTACAGAAATAATATAGAAAAAGTGATTTTGAAACTTGTGCAATTTCTATCATCTTTTGTATTATCGCTAGAAAAACAAAACTTTTGTAAAAATAAGGGTGATAGATTATTGTATCAAATGATCAAATACGATTATATTGTATGTTACATGTAATTGTTTATAATAAATAGTAATGATTATGATATATACTTATATATATTTATATTATATTAAAAATATTCTTACACTGTAAATTTACAATATTATACATATATATATATATTAAATAAAAAATTTATACAATAAAACAATATTTAATTAATCGGATATGTAATTCCGAGAATTTCTTATATAAATGTTGTAAATAAATTCTGAAATTATTTTTTTTTAAAAAAAAAAATAAAAAAAAAATATATTATATATTTATTTTTCCATCAAAAATGTCTTCTGATTCTGCTCCCCCGACTCCCCCTCCTTCTCCAAGCCAATTCAACCTAATGCCATCGCCACCTCCTTCTCCTCTTCCTCCCCAATCGCCTCCTCCTTCTCCGCCTCCTTCACCACGGCCGTTGCAATATAGATATAGAAGCATTCCCTACTCTACACCAGTAGTGCACCGGAGGGCTTATAGAAAAATAATAACTCGATCTTCGAAGTAAGTAAATATTGTTTGATTTAACTATACTTCTTATACTTTATTACAAGAAGCTTACGCTGCGTCTTTTTTTCATTCAGTAGAAGAATAAGAATTTAAATTTTTTTAAAAAAAAAAAAAATTTTATTTTAAATTTCGGCTGGTAAGGTCCAAAGTTTGAAACTTTGTGAAACTTTTATTATTATATTATTATTATTATTGACTAATTTAATTTATTTTTATTCTTTTTGTTATTGATATATAATTTATTGAATTAATAAAGTTTTTAAAATTATTATTTTTAAAAAAAAAATAAAATTTTTTAATAATTGTTAAATTTTATTTTTTAAATTTAAATACTAAACCGTTTTTCTCTACTAGCAATAAATAATAAATAATAAATAATAAATAATAATAGTTTACTATTATATTTTCAATAAACGTCCAAATAAATCAATTACCTTGTTTTGCGGGTCTTATCTCCCAATGCACATAAATACCCACATGATAATACTCATCTACTAATAATAAAACTCACGCAATAACTAATAGTAGGGGGTATAAGGTCAAACCCTCTGAAATTTGTATCATACCCGGGTACTATGACCCCCATTATGCGATATAGTGAAATTTTTATTATAGGAATTTCAAGTTTTATTTACAATCAACTCTCTCTAAATGCATTCTTCTAAGTGCATGCATTATATATTTTTTCTCCAATGGACAAATATTTGCTGCGCCATCTTATAAAACTATTTGCTTAAACCAATTAATGTCGTCCAAAAATTAAACCGATGAACACGAAAATTTTAAATATAATTTATTATAATTTCATACTCAAAAACTAACATTCCTTATTCACGTTAAAACCTGGAAATACAAACCTAATCTAATCGTCGAATTTCCTTGCAACAATATCTGATCCATTTACCCTCAATAGTCAATGCGAAAAATATAAATGTAAAAATTAATCCCTATCAAAATAGTTTTGACCTTTGCAACAACCTTTTAGAAAATAAAAAATTCAACTAATAAAAATAGATGTGCAAGTAATTTTCTTTTTATTTTAGAATTCGAAAGTTGTGGCGTAAGAAATTATAAGAACATTTCTTCAAATACTTTCGAAGCCATATCTAAGAATTTGATGATATGGCGTGTTTGTGTGTCGTATGGTCACTAATATATGTATCTCCAATATTAAATTAAGCGAAACTTAAACTTTATAGAACGTAATATTACTAAGTACAGTACGTTAAAAAAAAAAGAAGATTTTAAATTACCTATCAATGGTAGTGATTTTTGTTATTATGAAAAAATAATATTATTGGTTTAAATAAAATAAATCGTGGTTAATCGGTTAAATCGAATTCTATCGAATTCTTAAATATAAAATGTATAAAGTGTTGTCAAAATTATTTGCTACTATCATATCATATTCTTCTTTGTTTTAAAATATTCTCTTTTTATTTTTTGTCCAACAATTCTTGCCATCGCAAAATCTTAGTGTTATATTTCAGGAAATGTCAAGTCTACCGACCTGTCATATTTTTAGATTAAAAAAATTCAATTAATTAGGAACATGATTATTTATCTTATTTTATATAACAGGGTATGCTCCCTTGATAAATTTTCGTTTCATTTTTTTATTTGGATAATTAGTTATTAGGCATAAAATATTTTAAAAGTTTAATTTTGATCTATTTTTAATAAATATTTACTGTATATCATCAGTCTTTTCAAAGAGAAAAGAGGTCTATTGTTCCATTTTGAAACATTAATTTTTCATCCCGTAAATATTCTATTTCGACTCAGGATCAACTCTGAAAAATCAACTCAGAAGAATCAATTCAGTTTTTTTTGCAGTCTGAATAACAGATAGGTTGAAAATACGGACGCGTCTCTTATTACGGTACATAGCATCCCTATTTTCCCTATTATAGTCCTTTAAAAATTAAAATGGCTTGATTGTTCTCAACCAGTTTATTTATTTGATTTATGGTTGAAAATGGTTTGATTAGGATTCTAGATTTCTCAATTGTTTACTTTATTCTTTAATCTATATTGTAATACAAAGAGATTGCGAAATAAAATTTGGGGAGAAAATTATTTCACAACTAAGAATTTACCTTGTTAAAGGCTTTTCTGCTTCTGGGAAAAACAAAAAGCCGATCATATGATATTAAATGTCAATGCGTGAATATCAATAAGAAATAAAACAAAAGGTTCGTGACCCAGATAATTTTATTTTCCCGATCATTAAAAGAAAATCTGTAAATAAATTACTGCGCCACACTGCGCCGTCAACCTGACACACAGCATGAATTTTACTAATTCGCAATTTATTACACGTGGGTTAAAGTCAGTTACAGTTACGTGCCTTCGATAATTCCAACAAAACTGATACGAAACACGATCCTAATTCAGTAATTCGGTATGCAATTTTGTATATAAATAGAGGTCTTGGTCTAGTGATTAAATATACATTCTTTTCACAAACTACTCGCAAAACTATACGTTCTTTACATTCTTTTCATAACTACCCCGCACAACCATACATATTCTTCACAAACTACCCGCACAACTATCACAACTATACAAGTTTGAAATAGAAGAAATTATTTTGCTCAAGATTTTCTTGAGCACGTCGCGAACGTTTTGAAGCGCGCCATTTATTTTCCAAACACGCTTCCGTGTTCTTTAAAGCAACGAGGTAATTTATGATAAAAAATTATTTATTTTCGAAATGTCGTCTTTCATGGTAATTTGATAAAAAACTATTTACTAAAAGATCAATGACTTTTTTTTCTTTTGTTAGAATTGTTCGGGTCTACAAAATAAAAAATATCGGCGCTCCTCTCGCGTTCACCGCGCCCTCTTAAGAAAAAAAAATCGAGAAGAGGATGAAGGAGAAAATCAGAGAGAAAAAAACCGGAAGGCACGATTAAAAAAAGATTTAATGTTGGCGGGCGGAACGCGCGTCTATAAAAATCTTACGGTCCTTCAAGGTAATTTATGATAAATTAATTATTTACTATCAATGACTTCTTTTTCGTCTTTCATGGTAATTTAATAAAAAATTATTTACTAAAAGATCAATTACTTCTTTTTCTTTTGTTAGGTCATTTATATGAAGCTTCTCGTCAGATTGATCAATTTTCATCAATAACCGCATTCCACCCGTCTACATTTAATCAATCTTCTTTTAATTGTATTTTCTGTTTTCTTTCCCTCTGATTTTCTTCATCTTCCTCCTCGATTTTTTTTCCTCAGGATGAAAATGATTTTTTTTTAATTTTACTTGTATTTTCCGAAATAAATTTATCATTAGATCACATCATTATATGAATAAAGTCTGAAATTACTATACTTGAATTTTGTCGAACATCTTTAGAAGAAGCAAATATTAACAAAAAAAAATATGAATTAAATATTAAACCCAGAATTTTAAAGAATAAATCTGCTATAAAATGTTTCTTCATAAAAATTGATCACCTTTAATTATTTGCTCAGTTTCCACTAATAAACCTTTTTTTGTAACACAGATATTCTGATAATCATAAAAATTTGGTCATTAAAAAAACGAGAAAAATTTAAGTCGTTGTATTCCACTTAATCTAGTTTCTTCTGCTATTCGCTCAACCTTTTACGCTCAAGTCTGTTTAAACTAAAAAAGTGTTTGAAATGAATATCATCAAGAGAACGAACACGGAAAATTGCTACAAATGACAAGCCAGCTGCAAATTCCTCCTATTACTGCTTTTATAAAGTCAGACCTTGTAATTTATGAGCTGTGATAGCCCACGCAAGAGAGAGTGGAAATTGCAAGCGAGAGCAACTTTCGGTTTTATCTTCCCACACCCACATACTTATAGGAATAAGAGTTGGACCGTTATATTCAATATACTGTCTAATGAAACTCAGGTAAAGAGGTGTACTCGGGCTTTTCTTTATATAAAATAACTGTTATTGTTCCCATTACCCATTTATAAGACCAGCAGCATTTTGCATAATTATATTTCAGTTTCAATTCTTTTTGCAGTTTCGGAACCGGCCTTAGAAGCTTCAGATCCACCCGTATGTACTCCATGAATCTTGGCAACGGGTTGGTTTAATAATCGAAGTTTATTCAAATTTATTTTATCCACTTCTTCCCATGTTGTTAGAACATTGGTGGCATCTGAAGTTTTTCTCTCTGATCCAGGAATATTTTCTGGAATTCGCGTCATTAATAATTCCCAGTCGGATCGTATAGACCTTCCATCACGTAAGTGATAATAAGAAATTTCTAAATTGTTGTTGTTTATCCGAGTTACCTGTTGTATTTGTATAGCCTCATTTCTTGAAATTGACTAGACACTACGACCTTAGATAAATGATCTGATTTCGAGAGTCCTGAGAATACAATGGGAACATCACATACCGGAGGAAGCTGCCCAAAGTCACCAACAAGAATTATGGATCGGCTACCAAAGGGAATATTGTAGTGATCCGGAAATGCTTGCTGCGGTCGTTAATCAATATAGCAAGAAAACGACGTCCTACCATACTATAAAATATCCTATATATTTTAGTTTTCTTTGGAGTCTCTTCAAAGATTCACCTTCAAGCTCAACGTTTACCCCGAATATTGGAACAGAAAGTGACGAACGTATAGTGTTGCCTTCAATGTTAACACCTGTTGGAGCAACTACCATATTGTTCTCATGTAAGTTATGTTCCTTTACGATCTCATATAACCTTCCCCGAATAGCATTAATAAGGTAAGATTTGCCGGTTCCAGCAGTACCCATGACAATAATTCTTAAAGGTGCTATGGATTCTACTCTTTCACGTATTAACCTTTGTTTCTCGCTTAGAGTTCTAAGGTCGATACTAGTTGTCACCAATTGCCTGCTAGATGAAGCTTTCTGCCTCTTCAATTTCAGGATATCGCAGCAAACTTTCGTTAACCCAGTCGTGATTTCTATCAATATCACGGGTACTAAAGTCATCTAATCTACGCGTCTGTCTATTTGCCATCATTTCAGCCAGTAACATCCAGTCAGTTCGAAGTTCATACGCTTCCTATGGTGTGTCGTCGTCTTCTTCATCAGAATCGTTACCTTCAACTTCTTGAATATCATCCACGGCAGGTCCAATTAAATCATTAGAGTCATCATTGATTTCTACAAGATGTTGGTTATATAAATCAATCCATGAAAGAGTGTGATTCTCTGTGAGGCTAAGAAGGTCTCTATAACGAACCATTTCGAATGGGAGATGGACGTAGCTAAATACGTACAATGTTTTCACCAGAGCATCCTACCCAGTTGCCTTTTACTAATTTATATTGCTGATCCAATTTGAACAATGAAAGTTCCTCAAGTTCGGCAGGTCTATTACAATATCTTTGTAGAGGTGAGACATCTGTTTACAAAATTCCATTGTTCTCATTATTTGGAACATTTTCATTACTATCACGAAGCTGTTGATTCACCTCTTTGTTAAGATTTTAGACTAACAAAATTTCGGCTACTATGATAGAGCGGTAATTGAAGATGACAAGTTTCTTGCGCCGAAAAATCACGTTCTCCGACTGTGTGAATGAGCAACTTTGGAATGGTTTAACAGCTGGATCATTGGGGTCATCATTACGATGAGCTTTGTCCAATACTTCTGAGAAGGCCAAGGACCCTAAGGACCGTGGTTCTGCTTCACTAGCATACTTCGAAACATACTGCGTGGTAAGGATGGGTATCAAATCAACATTTGCACTCCATCCCTGTAATTGAATGCGATCATGAGGATTTATAAGTGGATCATTTCTGGCAGTTGTCAGTTCTAGGTAGTGTAACCATTTATCGATCAATTCAATCAGAAGGAGATGCATGCAGGTCGGGATTGATTGTTGTAACTAAAGAATCCAAGCAGTGTTTTACTTCTTCCATAATTTCATCATTATTTTTCATCTTTTCCCAATCAATTTCTGGTGCTTCTTTTCGCTTGGCAATGCCATGAACTTGAACACTACCATGATGTTGCCACTCAAATCGATACCACCAGTCAACTAATTCCCATTTAGGAATTAACACTTCCCAGATCGCTTTTTCAAAGAAATATGCAGCAATATGGAGATTATTGTCTGCGAAGCGAAGGACTATATATGTTTTCGAAGGACTATGTCAAATATCCGGTTGTCCGCACGCGTCACGTCATTGAAATTTCGTGCTACATCAGATGAAATAAATTTGTGATACATCAGATAAACAAGATAAAGGTTTATTTATAACCTTTTTTTCGCTCCGGACTTACAACGGTTTCCGTTTCCTAGTTTATGAGATCTTTACGTTGGCGTCTGGCAGCTTCCTGGACTGTTTCTGTGTTTACAGAATTTTTTCCATTAGGCATTAGATTATGTAAGTCTTGCCAATGCACATCTGCGCTAAATGTAAAGAAAATCATTCCCTGAGACCTTATCTAATTCAGCTCTACGACGCATTCAATAATGAATAGTACCACGCAATCCGTAATACTTTGCTATGTGAGTATTGTTTTGCATTAAATCCAGTATCGGCTACTGTGAGTTGCTCTTCTCTAAATTCTGTCGAACAAATACGCGACCTTCTGATGATGCTCTCCGTCTCATTAATGAATTTAGGGCAAAGTAATGCCACCGTCGATGACGAGCAAATCGGCCGTCTTTATAGACTAAAAGATGTTTAAAGTATTCCGTCGGTTTATTTCTTTTATCCGGGGTTCATTAAGGTCCACGACCCTCCAAGGATAAAATGTAGGAGATGCTCTTTGCTATATATCCTGGGGTATGAAACTCATCAATCGGAGAAACTTCGTTATGCGGCCAGTTAATTCTCTCATGATCATGTTGCGCTCAATTGAGGATTTCATTTATTGCCCTGTCTTCATTAAGTCTGGTGGGTAATGAAGGAACAAATGTTTGTGAGTCGAAAGAGTTTTCATCATTCTCCTGGTTCTTCTTCAGAACTATTGGTACTATCATCCGTGAATTGTGGAAGTTTTTCCGCAAACGAACCATTTTCAGGTAAAGTTTGTAATATTTCATCATCAATATCCGATATCACGATAGAATTTATTGTTTGCCTTCATGACTTCATCCAGTGAAGAGCTCGCATTACTTTTCCCTAACGAACATGAAAATCCCGAAAATTGGATCTATCTTCGGAATGACGCCAAACAATAAGTAAAACCAACGATTATGGATCATGTAGAAGTCGTGCCGCGAACTCCTGCACATCTTGTGAAAAAATAATAATATTTCCACGATATGCATACTGTCCTCCAGGATTGCGCGTTTCACTTAGGTTATTTTTGAGATTGTTCATTGTGTTGCGAAATTGGCGCAAAAGCTTCTGATCAGCAGTTGGAATGCATATTTTTGACGTATACTTGGCTTCTTTTGTGAAAGCCTCGCTGCAATTTGATTTGGAATTTTTTTGCTATTCTAAGCGAATATTTCTTACCGCGCAAGAGCGCGTCGAGTTTCTCCTCAACTACCGAACGTACTTCACGCTCCTCGTTGGTCTCTTCTCGCTTTACGCTTCCTTTCACGATCACGTGCTAAGCGTTCCTCGCGCTCCTCATGATCATGTGACAAAATGAGCTTCTTCCATATCAATAACATATTCTCTCTATTCTCTTTATTCTTGAGATGATTTGGAAAAGGAGCTATGCGCAAATACATTTACACAATTATTGTATATTCTCATTAAAGTGATCTTACCATATCGTAATCCGATGTAATGCAAAGGTTTTTATTGGGAATTCTTACAATTTGGCTTTTGAATAAAGAAAAAAAAAAATTTTTGATTAAGTCGCCAATTATAATTACTACGTGGTTTATATATGATCGTTTTAATTAAGGGGCGTTCCTTTTCGATCGTTGGGCGTACCTTGGACAATTCAATATCCATTTTTGATTTTACTATTTTAATGCACGTTGCAAATATATTGTTATTGATTAGGAGACGTTCTTATAACGTGTATTTTATGTTACAAAATTTATCATTCGCGTACATTTAAAACTTATAACCGTTTTTAATTAACAACAATTTTTCGTAATTCCATAATCAATAGTTTTATATATTAAAAGTGCTATTAACCCAAATGCGACCAAAAAAATATTACTACCACCAATACTACCTTGAACATATCCTTAAATATTTCTCCTATTATCTTGATATACGTTTATTATAATTTCTAATTCTTTTATTTAATAATTTCAAAACTTTACATTACATGAATTCATACATTTAATTTAAACTATGATGATTAAGAAAAAATCAAATAAATAACGCGACGGACTTTAACGGTTTCCATTTTTCTAGTGTATATTTCTTTAGGGGATCTCCCGAAACCTATCTTCGAAAGCCCATCCGAAACCTATAAAAAAAAACAAGAACGGTTAGTAAACCGTTCCATAATATTAAAAAAAAAAACTACTAAGATTCGTAATACTTACGAATTGTAATTTATTGAGTATTCTATGACATTCAAAAAATATTTTATTCAAATAAATCGCATAATAAAGTGAAAATGAATATGAATATGATTTAAATAAATTATAATATTATATACATAAATTCCTTATCCCGTTTTCTTGATAAAAAACAAATCAAATAAAAATACTCCTGGCGCTTCGTTCATCATAGTCTAGGCGATGGTTGTGTTGTTGTTTGTGTATTTGTCCCTGGCGCATGATATCCTTCGTGTTGGAGAAACGATTGGAGGTAGTATGCCAGGGACGAAGTAATAGATCACGACTTAATTTGCTCGTTTAAACAAAGTGTTTCAAGATATTTTCGCAGCGCTATCGTCTGTTTTGGCTCTGGTTCGGGTCCTCGATTCTTAAAACTCGAGACATTCCAGTATTTATTTGTTGTGGTGAAGCTAGTATCTTATCTGTGCGCGAACTCCTATCATTGGAGGTGGAACAGTAGGTGAACGAACATCTGCAAACAAAGACTTTGATTTTCTTCGCTTGGGCTGCCAATAACCATTCTAGGGTATGCCAATAAAAAAAAATGGTCATCTATTGAAAATAATACATTCGATTCGGAAGAAACACGAACCTGCAGCACTTCATGTCTTTTGCCTTTTACCATCCTTTTTGAACGCGTATGATACAGTAATTGGTTTATTCAGATTTCAGATATTGCACGTTCATTGCATCAATTGCCGCATCTGAAGAATCGAACTTATCATATGAAATAAACCCATACCCTTTACTATTACCAGTATCAGGATCTCATGCAATCTAAATTAAATATTTCGACTTAACAAAATTAAATATGTAAATGAATTCGATATTCGATTATTAACAAAATAAAAATGAGCGGAAAGAGTGAAAATTACCAACGGGTCCTGCCAGAAGCATTCATCAAGGTTACCGATATAGACCGTAGCGTCTTGATCGCGTTCCTCTGTAGGACGAGCCATAATGTCAAGAGAAAAAATTTTTTTGACGCTAATCTTTTTTCCAAAAAATAGCATCACGTGATATAAAGGTCAAAGAGATTTTGTCACACTACAATCCAGAAAAAAACTATACGGAAAGATTAATTTTTCTCATGTTTTTTTTTAAACCAACTTCCGCCCTGATATAGCAAATGTTTATGGAGGAATTTAAAGGTTGTGATATTTCTCGTCAATCTAAGTGGAATCATCAAAATCGAAAAACTCTTATTTGAAAATAGAATTGTTTCATTTTCCACATTCACAGCACCACTATTTAACTATGCAGCATATTGCAAAGTCTTGCCAATTTATAATATTATTATATTATTAAAATAGTTGATAATGTTATTAATAATGCCGGATTGATTAGAAAATTACTAGTATTAGAAGAAATTTTCCAAATGTTTACATCTTTAAAATAAATTGATTTATCCTCGTAATAAAAAATATCCAATGATGTTAATAATGAATTTATTAAAGATTTTGATAAGAAAATTTTTAATCTTCACTGCAGATATTTTGAACCTTTTAGTTATTTGTGAAAATTTCAAACTTAGAATTATATGATTATATTTAAGATTATTTTATCAAACATCATTAATATTGGTTCAAGTCAGTTTTCAAATAAGTTATAATTTACAAACAATTTTTATAGATTTTAATGATGATGATGATGATTTAAATAGCTTAAAAAAATTAAAAGGATTAATTTCTAAACAGAAAAATTTTAAAAATGTAGCTATAGGACCCCGGATATCTAATATAAAGGTCATAATGGACTTTTGGCCAAAAACACCCCTTTTTGCTGAAACTCAAAAAATCGTTTTTTGTAAATATCTCAGCATCCAGTAATTCAATTTTAATGAACTTTTTTTTATTTTGTAGCCCTCATTTAGCTCTACAATTTAAAAAAATGTTCATCAAAATTGGACCACTGGATGCCGAGATATTTACAAAAAACGATTTTTTGAGCCCCTGAAAAATGGGCCAATCTGCCGAAAGTGTGACTTATGACCTGTTTTGGAGATATCCGGGGTCCTATTTAATTTGCATTTAGGTTGAATTTTTTATTTTTAATATAATTTCAAGTCTAAATTAATCAAGCTGTATGAATTTATTGGGTAAATCTAATTGATAAACCATAGTTTATCTGTGATCCACAGTTGGCAAAATGGCAAAAGATATTTTTTGTCCTTTATTAACTGCTTTAATACTTAATTAATTCCTAGACAATATGTGCTTAATTTTTACATGAAGAACCTATTTGAATACATTAGTATTTTTGATAATTTGATTTGTATCACAGGTCAAAAAGTGAAAAATCAGGTACCAATCAGTGCCTAATTGGCATTTTCGCCAAATACCGTTACCAATCAGGCAGTTTGCTAACTTTTGATCCAATGATCAGAAAAAGATGAAATATAGCTCATTGGAATCGTCTCAATATGACGAATCTAATGGTAGTAAAATCTCATTTCTAGGATTAATACTTGATGAGAAATTAAGTAAAATATAAAAATAAAAATGTATTATTTATATTTTATTTAATTTTTTATTAACTATTAATCCTAGAGATGCGATTTTACTACTATTAGATTCGTCATGTTGAGACGATTCCAATGAGTTATATTTCATTCTTTTCTGATCACT